TCCGGCTGAACATGTCCCTGAACTGGTGTCTGAGTTCAGATTTGTTCCCACTCAGACTGAAGAGATGGAACTAGCCATTTTTGAGAAGTGGAAGGAATGCAGGTACTAGATCTTCCAATGCATGCTAACCAACTTTGCACTGATTTTTCTCTGAAGAGAATATATTGAAAAGATGCTGCTGGCGCTTCTCCTGGGGTCTTGGTCAGAAACATAGTTCTAATGTGGTTCTGTTGTATTTTGTAAGAGGATATAATGTGAAAAGTGAAGCTTTCCAAAGGTCTGAGTAAAATGATGAGGTTGCAGGATCTTAAGATGCAATGTTTTTTGTAGCAGCGGTTTCAGATTAAAACTTACGAAAGTGACCTTGATGTTCACGAAAGCAAGTAAGTGTCAGCAGTGTGTAGGTTTTTCACTAACTCTCAGGAATTTCTTTTCCTCTTTCCTCATATACCAGTTTTCCCTTTTTGTGCTTTTTCAGGCATTTACCTAACAGCAAAAAATTTATTTCAGGGGGCAAACACCAGCACAGGCTGAAACTAACTACTTAAACAAAGCTAAGTGGCTGGAAATGTATGGTGTAGACATGCACATAGTCAAGGTATGTTTAACTACAGTGTGGTGACCTTTGGAAATGATGTTAGCTTTGTCCTGCTTTTCAACACTGGTTTTGGTTTGAGGGGTGGGGAAAGAATGTTGTACTCATCTAAACTGTGTAGCAAGTGATCTGGCTTTGCATCAACATTCCACTTCATGGTATAGATTTCTAGAAGGTATAACTTCAGTCCAAACATATCTGCTCTGCGTTAAATATGTGATTGGTGTGGCAGTATGTACTATAGTTTGTATTTAGACTAAGAGTTATGTGAAAGTCATAGTAATTAAATTAAAATTGGCTGGGGTCCAGTCAGCTACCAGCTGAAAAAGTACGAGTAAAAATAGATCTCCTGTGGAGAAGGAAGTGCAGAAAACTGCACAAGGAGGTCCTTATTACACACACCAATCAAGAATCTTCAATTTTCCACTTTAATCAGCCTTAGGGGTTGCAAACTAGAAAAATCCATTGCATAAGATAATTCAAACACCAGACTTTTGTTATATAAAATAAGCAGATATATGTTTAATTGTAACACTGGGTAAATAAGCTACATTAATCACTGGACTAATTTGGATAAAGGGTTGAACACCAAAATGAACGTAATCTTTATTTTGTGGCAATTAGGCAAGAGACGGCAATGATTACAGCTTGGGACTAACACCTACAGGAGTTCTTGTCTTTGAAGGAGACACAAAGATTGGTTTGTTTTTCTGGTAAGCTCTCTGATTGTACGTTAAAACGTATTTTAGATTTGTTTTCTTTTATTTCTTTTGCAGTAGCCAAAAAAAAAAATGTTTGGGATATGAGAGCACCGTAAATACTATAGGTACCTGTGGAAATATTCTGTAGCCTGTGAGTGTTTTCATGGTGTTCAAAAATATTATTTCGTCTTTTAACAGTCTTGCTTGATATGTTAATAGGCTGCATATGTGCAATGTGCTAGAGGCAAGTAAAAGATGGAGTAACTTTGGGATGCTTGTGGGGTTTTTTTATTGTGTGTGTGTGTTGTTGTATTTTGCACTGGATGACTTTGGAAATAGAGTATGCACCCAGTCAGTTAAATGAAGCTTCTTCAGGCATTCTGGCCAAGTGTTACACCTTACTGTTGAAAAAGAGGCAGAAGCAGTAGTACTAGTGCAGTTTTTACATATAATGTCATCTGAGCAGGCTTTTCATTAAGAAAATGTCTCTTTGTGCCCTGCAAAGGGCAGAAATGTCCCTTTCTGCCCATCAATAAGGACTAATTAAAAACAAAAAAACCCAAATACCCTTTCCCCCACCCCACCCCAAAGCAGATCTTTATATAATCAGGGGACATACAGCTTCCTTTAGTGTTTATGAACATGTGCTTCTTTATCTGTCAAATACCTGAATAACACCCCATGGTTTCTCGGAAACATTCTGGTGAAATTTTGCAGGGCTTTACACTGTATAAAACACAAGGTGTTTTGGGTCTGGGTACGTACACATTTATGGATCTTTAAGTGCTTTATTCGGTAATTGCTATCCGGTCTTTCAAAACTGTATACAAAGAATGAATAGGCAGATGATGTGATATTTCATCACATGAATAGTTTGGGTTAGCCCAGTCCAATTTTTATAAACTTATCAGAAAAACACTCACTTTGTAACAGAAATGCTGTCTGTGTGTCTTGTCTGTCCACAATCAATTCTGGGTATTTTTTAGGCCTATGGCCGGGGGGGGGAAGTGGTTGCATTTTTGTGTCATGTTGTGTTCACATTGTTCTCTTTGTGATTTTCTGAAACAGCGTCATAGGAATTGATCTGTGATATATTGTTCAGTGATTTACATTTCTTTGATAAAGCAGAATTATTTTGGTCTGCCTTTGTGTCTTTCTAAGTTCAGTTTTGTGGGCTTGTGGAAGAGGAGGCAAGCAGCAGTATTTGGGTGAAGGTTGATTTCAGTTCAAGTAATTATTTTAATTTCTGATAGAATTATCTCTTTAGAAGTTGCCAACTTCTTGTCTTCAAGGTTTCTAATTAAATCTTAAATTTTGAAGTAATACATTGGTATCCACACTATAATCAAGCCCTACTGCATGAACTTAAAACACTCACAAAAGCAAAAAAAGTATTTGATAGAGAGGCTTGGACCTGCATGTTGAACATACCTCCCAGTGAGTTACTAAGAGTTAGACATAACCTGTGTTTTCTGTTCATCTTGCAGGCCAAAGATAACAAGGCTTGACTTCAAGAAGAACAAACTCACTCTAGTTGTTGTTGAAGATGATGAACAGGTAGATAGCTATTTGTTTAGTTACATCTTGGTCTTGATTATACAGTACTAGTTTACATACTCCCGATCTCTTTCTTTGTATTTAACTTTTGAGAATTAACGTGGATGCCTTGCAAGATTTTTGGTTGTGACTTGGGGGGAGATGGGGAATGAAGGGACTTAAGTATAAGATAAATAGGCTCAAATTTTTTTTTTCTCACTCTGTTTTTAAAAGGGGAAAACCTGGTGAAACTAGTGTAGGCCAGGTAATTTGGGAACAGTGTGCTTGTTTTGCAAGAAAGTTTAAAAAAGGGCCAGGTAGCACACTTAATTAATTCCTTAAGCAGATGCCAGAATTCTTCCCCTGGGAAGAAATCTCAGAGCTGAGATTATAAAAATGAGAGTATTGGTAATTTGAGAAAATCAGATTTGGAAGCAAGACGATGTTAGCCTCATTGAGAAGTACCTTCCTATTATAATAATAATGTCTTTAATTTGTAGTTATTCAGAGGTTTGACTTGTTAAATGTATGGGTTCTAGTCCTTTCCAACTTCAGACAATGGAGCAGTTGTTTATTAAAGCTTCTGAAAAGGTTGACTTTTCTGCCTTAAATATTTTTAAACATATGTTTCAGTATTCACAAAAAAACAAATTTTATTTGGTTTGTATTGAATTGTAGCTTTGACTTGTTCAAGCCCCTTATAAATTGTCTGTGTGCTTTGCCTGCTTTAAGGGAAAGGAGCAGGAGCATACTTTTGTCTTTAGGCTGGATCACCCCAAAGCCTGCAAACACTTGTGGAAATGTGCAGTGGAACATCATGCCTTCTTCCGGCTCCGAGGTCCTGTCCAAAAAAGTTCAAGTCGATCAGGCTTCATTCGGTTAGGATCCCGGTTCCGATACAGGTCAGTGTCATCTGTTGTTTAGCGTATATCTTCTGTTATTTCTTGCTTTTCTTGGATCATGTGTGGAAACCGGCGAACTTGGTATTCATTCACCTAGGCCATACAGAGCAGTGAAAATTGCCAGCTGAGTACTTGCATTACTGGTTTTATTAAATCATATGGGTTTTCCCCCTGCATTTTCTGATTTATCTTTAGGTGATTCTGGCCTGTGCAATAGGAAACCAAAGGTTTCTCAACGTGTTTATGTTTCTTACCTAGTGTATAGTAGATTGTGTTTTATAGATCACTTCATCTTGAAAGCCCTCCCCTTTTTAAATCCATCCTTAGAGGATGGACAATTGACTTGCACAGCTGAGACATTGCAAGTCGTTTGACTCCTGAGTTCCTGCCTGCCTGAGTGATCGTTGTGCTTCAGAAGCCTTAGATAATGCCCATTCCATGTTAGGCACTACCAATGCATGGAACAGACCAAATGGTGTGTGATCCCGTACTAGCCTGCAGGATGCTGTTGGTTGTCCCACCAGAGCTGGTGAGAACATATGGAAGGGGATGGGGCATGACCCTAGGCAGTATGCATATATCTTCCTTCCATTTCCAGGAACTGTAGCAATACCATCTGGTCTGCTTCAGGAAGGGTCAGCGGTACCAAGGAGTCAGCAGAACGTGAGGCTGCTACTGCCTTGGGGGCAGAGTCTGGCCAAACTTGGGGAAAAAAGTCTTGACTGGGAACAAGAGCATCTAGAGATGCTGGTTTTTAGTCATATTATTATCTTTCTCTCTGACCTTTGGCAGCATACCTTACATTTTACTCTCTCCTAGAATTTTTCAACCTCTCCCAAATGGCGTGATCACAGAAATGCACATTTGCCCTTTGTGCTTTTTCAGTAATTTAATGTTTAAGGAGTCATTGCTTCAGCTTTTTGTCTTGCGAAAACAGGATGATTATCAGGATGTTTGTAAAACTCCAACCCTTTTTTGTGAACGGCCTTCTGAGGTGTTAAGTTTGAGATTTTTTTTTTTTAATGGAACTGAGATCAGATTATTAAGCTATGACTTTAAAATAGAAATGTGAAGTATTGATGAGCAGCGTCTCTATTTTGTCATTAAAAATAAGTGATTTATTTTATTGTTTTGTACTTTTACGTGGCATTGTTAGTGGAAAAACAGAATATCAAACCACCAAGACCAACAAAGCCAGGAGATCAGCATCCTTTGAAAGGAGGCCCAGCAAGAGGTATTCAAGACGAACACTGCAAATGAAAGGTAAACTATTGACCTTCAATTTTGAGAATTGTAATCCATTGTGAGAATCAAGTAATCCTATCCTTTAAAGGTACTGTGTAGGAATTCTTCTCTAGTTGTTTGCCCTCCTCTTGAACTTCCAAAATTAGATTTTCTTCAACTTATTTGGGAGACCACATATATTTATCAGAAAAAGCTTTTGTCCAAAGCATGTCATTCTAGCTTGCCTAGCAGGTAAAACACCCATAAATACTGCACAATAGGTCACTGTATGAAGATGGAAAACATGGATTCAGGCAACAGTGATATATTAATGATAATATTATAAATTTATTAAGTTTTAGATTTTTGTCACTGAGATTTTTTCATTGTTCTTAGGAATTGCTCTCTGTTGTTACAACCCGACAGCATGTGATACTCACCTTGTCTCTTCTTCCCACTTTAGCATTGGTTACATGTGACCTCCATGCATGCTTTCAGATGCTTGCTTAAACCCATCTCTGGTTTGTTCTTCAGATTTTTTATTTTATTTTCCAATTTAGAATTTTATTTTTCACACTTACATGGGATACATGCAACTCTTTTGCTCTTTTAGTTGCCTACTTTTAGGCAATGCTAAACTATGATTGTTAATATTTAACTGATAACCTAATTACAAATTAAATTCTAATTAACACTTTCTATTTTGCAGCACATTCTGCTAAACTTGAAGAAACAAGGTAAGATGTATTCTAATATTTATATTTCTCTTTGATGTTTGCCACCTGTACTTGAGCACGTGTGTGCAAAACATTAGTTGAATGCAGAGAGTGTTAACCTCTAAACTGTGGTTTTGCTGCAGGTTTTGTGTTTGTTTACTTTACATAAAACCTACTGTTCAGAGCAAAGTTCCGGGGTTGCTGTCACATTGAAGATTTTGCCAGACTTGCTTACTAGCAGGCAGAGATGTTTGTTTATGACTAACTGTGATTCTTGCTGGATACAAGCTGTAGTTCTGTGTGCTGCCATGTAAAGAGATCAGGTAAAAAGCATGTGAGGATCTCTTCTTTCTGAGATCTGCCTACTCTGGCTGTGTCACTGAAATACATCATCAAGTGAAGTTCAGAGACAGGGAAAAAATGGTAAAATAAATGTTTGAAATATTTTGATTTTTTTTATATTCTGTACTAGCATTTATTTTTATATACCGAAGGATTTATTTTTCTACATTTATACTAAATTATTCATGACCAACATTGAGAGAGAGGCCTTTTGGTTCTTTATTTCTGTATAGAGTCTTTCTGCATGTGTAGGTTCATACTTGCTGTTGCAATGTAAAATACTCATATGAATCTGAATCACACAGGCTTCATGCCTTTCCTTAAGGGAAGAGAGGAAACCAGGCTAAAAAGAATTACCTGGTAGTGAAGGAACTATGTCATTCGGTTCTGGTTTCTGTCCTTTGCCCTAAAAACTTGTGAACATTGCAGTAATAAGTTGCAAACAAATTATTTTTAAAAAGTAGATACTAATAGATGCTAAGCAGTAAGGAATGTCAAAATAACATTTCAGAACAACAGGCTTAATACAGCGATACATTTTTCTGTTTGTAACAGCAGGATTGATTCTTGCATGAGACAGGGAGAAGTCTGGGAAGTGTGGTGACAAGGCTGCAGTTACTTTTGGGGGGGGTGCCTGTCTTTACGACCTTCTGTATTGTCATCTTTTTATAAAATGGGAAAGTTCTCTTCAACACTGTCATTAAAGTGCTTAAAGATCCTCTGCATGCAAAATATGACTGATGAATTACTCTCGTCGTGCTGTGTTGTCATGCCCTTTTGAGTTTCATGCTGCTTAGGTCATTCTGAGAGTGGGAAGAGAAACTTCATGTGCAGTTTCTCCTTCTGATAAGACCGGCAGTCTTGTGATCTGCACCTAGGTGTGGCACTGTTATGTTAGTCTGCAGAGCAATCTATGCCATTTCTGAAACTCTACACTTGAGCGTTGCTAATTGAAATGCATCATGAAAGATGTATGTTTTCCATTCTTTTGTGTTAACTCAGCACTGGGGAATGTGCTACCCAGAAGGCATTCCTTGATATTTCTGGTAAAGGTGCACTATTCTGTGGTAACCTCCATGTTCTCTCCATAGAGAAGGTGCAAGGTTGGGAAACTGGCAAGGAGCAGCTTTGGTCTTGATATTATGATATTTAAGCAAAATAATTCTAAAGAATCAGTGAAGTAGATACAGAGATCTATTTGAATTGTGAGCTTGCCAGGTTGGAGAGGTATTGTCCAGACTGTAAATTGAAAGATTAATGAGTTGTAGGAGACTAGAACCATTTCTTAAATAATTAGAAGTCTGGGAAAAAGTTTGCTTTTCATGAGATTTAGACTGCGTATTTATCGTGCAGGGTGTTAATGCTTTTAAGTCTTAAAGATGTGAAAATGTGAAATGTCTCTTGCATATTCAGAAATCTTCAGGACTAGGGATATGGGTCTGAATTTATTAAATATATTACATATTTAATATAA